GTAACACCATGAGACCTTTTGAGGGGAGTGTTGGAGGCTCATGATTCTCCAGCCGTCAAAAGACTCTCTCAGCCTCTTGTCTCACCTGTGACACAGCCCCTTGAGGCACCTGGTTGAAGAATCACAGCCTTTTGTCTACAGCCATTGATCTCACTGGAATTCAGTCAGCAATCAGGCCGCCATTTTGCCACAGCTGAGGACACTAGAAGCAAACCTCTTCCGTAGCCTGAGTGGATTCCTAGGTGGACCGGAAGTAGCGACAGGACCAGAGCGCTTTTCAAATGCCTTGATTTATAGCCATCTTTGTTCTTTCTGTTGCTGTAAAAACTCTATGAAACTGTTTCCACATTGGAACACGGGGTGACCTGGGGTTTCCTGGGTTATGGTCACTCAAATTTGGCTCAAAAATAAACTCTTTATTCCTTTTGAGGCAAGAGCTGTGTGGTTTTCATGAATAAGATATTTGATAAAATTATAACCTTATTTTTCAGTACTGAGCTTGGAGTGGCAGGCAGGCTAGGAAACTTCTTTCTCTTCTTTCCCATTTCTGTTCAGAGCCGCCGTGTGAACAAGCGGGTCCTTTCACGCCCTGCGGCTCCCAGGCCTAAGACTTCCAGAAAAATTTAAGTACTGTTCAGTCCTCATAAGTAGATTTTATGAACATTTTGCTGGTACTGATGTTTTTATTGCATTTATTTATTGTGTGGGTGTGGCTCCAAAATGACTGATTGCCACACGTGCCAGGGCCTGAACCTGGAGATGAGGGGGAGCGTGATAAGGCTCCTCACCTGCAAAACAGATTCCTACAAGATCACACATGACCTCGCTGGGCTGTCATCTCGTCTCGTGGCATGAGGTCAGATGACAAGTTGTAGGAGTCAATTGTCCCCTCCCCCCACGTAGATCTTAAAATCAACAGCTCGGCCAGCAGTGCTTTACTCGCTGAGCTATCTAACTGATCCAAGGCATTTGAAGGGTAGAAACACAATGAATTACATGCTTAGAGCAGAAAATACTATTAATAGTGACTAAGTAAATTTGTTATTATTATTATTACTACTACTACTATTATTATTATCAATTACCATTATCATGACAACTGTGAAACCAATCCCGGGGTTCAATTGGAAATTTTTTAGGCTTAAGTAGCTAAAATTTGGAGGCTGTAAACATAGTGAGTTAAGCCAAGACTGAACTCTGTCTTCTACCTTGGGAGGTCTGTTGAATCTTCACAGTAATTCTGCTTGAAGGGGTTACATTCACTTCTGCCCGAGTGCATGGATGCTTTGCCTGCACGAATGTCTGGGCACCAGGTGTGTGCAGTGCCTGCAGAAAGAGGTGTCAGGTCCCCTGGAGCTGGAATTGCAGATGATTGCGAGCTATCCTGTGGGTGGGCTTAACCACTGAGCCATCTCTCCAGTCCCACCAGTGGACTTTTCTTGGCTTTTGGTGCCCATCTACCAAGGAGGAGACTGAGCAGTCCACATCAGCAAGCCCTTAGGTTATTCTGAGGCAATTTTAAATTGGTTACAAATTAAAGCTTAATATCTTAATCAGTTAAAACCACTGATCTAAGAGATGGCCTCTTTATCTAATTAGTTACGATCCACAGATGGGAGTGAGAGCGGGAGGCAGGGTGTGTGAGAGAGAAACAGAGAGAGATCGGTTCAGTCGTTGTGTACGATCCAATGATTAAAAGTATCTTTTATTAAAGAGGCTTCTAGTAATTTAAATAGCAAACTCACTGAAAACTTTGTTCGGTCTCTGTGTGGATTTTTATCCACAGCAAAAGTGGTCCATCCACGTGGGGAAGAGATGGCGTGGCAGTCCTTGCTTCTGGAGCTTCTCTTCCTGCCTTATCTGCAGTCACTGAACTGGAACCTTGAGAGATGAGCTCGGCTCTCAGTTCTCTTCCTCCTGGCTCGCATCCTTGGAGGTCACTGAACTCTAAAGGCAGAGAATGAGCTGGTAAGCCTCCCATGGGGGAGTAGGGCATGTCACGAGTCAAGGGGAGCAAAAGGAAAGCTGGCATTTTATCTGATGTGCGTTTGCATACTAGCAATCCATCAAATTGTTCCTAGCGTCTGAGGGTAGAGAGCGAAGTAGCGCGCTCTTTCTGACTTATCATCTAAGCACATCCTAATATAGTAGGCACACTGGCCCTGCTTGGCTAAGATCATATGAGCCCGCACAGATAAGATTAACCTCATGAAAACCTAGCACATCTGTCTGCCTCCTTGACTTTGGGTCACTCTTCCTTTTGACTCTACGCATGCTAATCACGAAAACCTCAATAATCTGTCTAAAACCCAGTGACTCCTAACTGCGCGCACCCCTTGCAAGGCTGAAAGCACAAAGAGTCATCCTGGTAAGCCCACTGTTATCTTGGATTCCAGGAGTACCGATATCTTGCAAGCAAGGTAGATTGCAGCCAAGGTAGAAAGCAGCACTCAGTGATGGAGATGCAGAGGCTACATTCTGGAACAGAAGTCACTGTCTTATATAAATCAGATGCTTCTCCTAAAGCTGACAGAGGACCCACCTGCAGAACAGAGTTGAGACAGAATTGGATGAATGGTGCAGGATTCTTGCTTCTTGCCCCAGCTCTTCTTCAGTTTAAACCTAAAGCTCATCTCAGAACCTTGAAGAGGAAGTTGATGGACACCTGTTCTTCCCAATGAGTATTAATTAAATCTCCTCTCTCTGCTTTTCATCACTCCTAATTAGTATACTGGGACAACATAACCTGTTGGGGGTCCTGGAGCCGGGGGATTTTACCCTAAAACTCTGGTTATACAAATACGCTAGGTTCTTATATAGGAGTAGTTTGGGTGGCCTAGGAAGCCCAGTAGTCACCACTATGGAGCGTCTAAAGTTCAATGTTCCTGTCAGACCTAAAGGAATAGTTGTTGGGAAGAAGTCCTGGGGAAGAGAAGTGCTGGGGATAGAGAACATCCCCAGGGGATGCAGTCTGCTCCTTACCAGACAGTAGTGATTTCCGAATGATCTTAAAGGGGAAGGAAAACTCGATGATGCTCTCATAAGAGGCAACAATGCAAGGCAGAGCTGGTGCCTGACTTAGCCCTAAGTCTTTCCTGCTGCCTGGTTTGCAGACACTTTAAAAAAAGGGATCAGTTCTGAAGAGAATGAGGCTGTCAAGTGTATGAGGAAGATAGTGTTGCTCCCCAGACAGGCGAGAGTCCTAGTGATCTATACTGTCACCAGTATGGCTAAGTATTCTTTCCCCTGGATCCTGCGCCTTGGCCACCAAGAGCTACATCCAGTCCGTGCGTTCAGTACAACCATCAGGTAGCATCATGCCTCAAGTGGGCTTTCCCCATGGTCTTATGTGATGACAGAACAGACTGAAGGGGGCTGAAGGCATTAGCAGGACCTGTGTGCCAACCCTTTCTGTCCTCTACAATCACCTTTAGGTAGATTTTTGATCCATTCTTAGATGGAGAAGCAATGTAAGCAAGAGCGGGTGACTAATTACAAGCAACGTAGCATCAAAGAAGCAGAGGGAGGATGTGAATGGGGCTCAGAGTCCACACTCCTCTCATCACTGAGCCAGCACAGCAGAACAGGCTAACCACCTGCCACCCCCAGCAGTTCGCTGTGAGCTGTGGGCCACAAGCAGCAGCTACAGTACAGATACCACCCATGCCGTCTTCCTTGACTTTAGACGATTATGTTAATTTTACAGAGTGAAAAAAAAATGTTCTGTATCTTCCGCCACCTATAAAGAGAGGCAGAGGGCCAGTGAGGTGGCTCAGGGGATACAAGAGTTTGTCACACAGGCCTGCCAATCTGAATTTGCCCTGTAATTCCCATGGTGGAAGGAGAGAACCAGCTCCCAAAAGTTGTCCTCTGACCCCCACATACACTCCATGAACACACAGAGACACACACACGCACACCTGCGCATGCACACACACACGTGAGCATTCACACATACGCACGCATATGCATGCACACACACAATGTAATAATACTTTTTCTAAAGAGTTGGGCATCACAGACATCCAATTGGGAGTTTTTCCCATGGGCGGTCTTTACTTATGTGCCCATTCCTCATTCTGCATCCATCCCTCCTTCTTCCAAGCCATTCTCACGCCCCAGCTAAACAGGAATCCACCATTAGGAGTTTTGTTATCGCTTACATAGGGGGAAAGGGCTAAGGTGAACCTTTTATTGTTCAGATAATCAGGGTGATTGCTAGAGTCTGCTAGTCTCAGCATAAGCCTCTGTGGTCTTAACTTCTCTGAGCAAGTTTGAGATATAGTCTGCTCATAATCATTGGTCATAGTTGAGCCAGGTTAATCATTCATTTGTCCAGAGCTTCTTTGGAGTTTGTGTTTGTTATTCTTAAGTGGCCAAACTAACCCTGTGTAGAAACAAACATCTTTAAAAGCATAGGTCTACCTGTCTATGTGTATACAGGGATAGTATTAAATCATTGCTCACTACCAAATCCTTGACTATCAGAGAATGTCTCACTTACTGCTTACCAGCTACCACTTCCCTTTTGTTTTGAAGAGTTGCTTTTTAGGACAGTTCCATGATAGAACACAGCCTATACAGCAGAGTTCCCTGGTAAATGGCTTTGCCAGGCAGAGACGCCGAGTGGAAGGAAGCACTTTCTTTTTTTTTTTTTTCAACCCACCTGTCTGTCACGCGCATTCCTCTTTCTGTGTGGCTAAGAAAGAGGCATGAAATTGTGTAACAGTTTCTTTTTTTTTTTAACTGTTTTCCAATGAACATAAATTTATTATAGGCCTGAAAAATCTAAAAGCTATGTATATGGGTTATGGGCCTCCTGTACCTGCTGTCCTATGCTGTCCTACGCCATACCTGCTGTCCTAGGCTGTACCTGCTGTCCTAGGCTGTACCTGCTGTCCTAGGCTGTACCTATTATCTTATCTACAAAGTAGACCTGGCATATGGACAGAATTTTATGTAAATAACATATTTGTTTAGTAATCTCCAGGCTATTTGCCTATTTTCATTCATATTAAAAGCTTTGTTTTCATGTTGTCCAGCCTCCCTCTTGTGTAACAGTTTCTATCCCACAGAGGAATGCTACAACTGCCACCATAAGATCAGCTGCAGACCAGTAGCTGTGGACAAGGAAGCACTTTCGAACAGACGGCTAGGTACGCTCCGACCCGATCTAGCATGAGGAACAACAGGAATCTGTATGAGAGCTGGCTTGACTGGGCGAGCTCTCCACCATGTCTGCTTTAGCAATTCTCAAAAACAAAGACATGCATACTTTCGAACAGTATAAATATGTACCCGCTGAACTAAGTACATTATGAGACATTTCTATAAAACAGTACCATGCAGACATCAAAGTCATTTGTAAACTGTTCCACCAAAGCAGTATATTTTAAAAATTATTTACTTTGTGCTTATACATATTTGTGCGTGAGGGTGTGCACGTACCCTGGCACATGTGTGGAGGTCAGAGGACAAGCTGTTCCCAGTCTTTATATCACTATTTGGGAGCTGGGCTCAGGCGGTCAGGTCGTCCCGCAGGCACTTTGCCCTCTGAGCTCGCCACCCGGCCCCTAGTAATTGTACTGATAAATGGAAGAAGAGATTGCTGCACAGTAATACGGATTTTATAAAACCTTTTTCCTTTTGCAGAGGATGTGATTGTATTACGTGCTGCCGCTAAAATGGCTCTCAGAAGAAAGAAAAACAGTTCTATCGCTTGGGTTAGCTGCTTTTACTTTTCTTTACTTTCTGGCTTTTTTGAGGAAGGCCTGTGTTGTTTTTGTGATCAAGAGAGGTGAAAAACGCAACCAAAGTCTCTGGGAAGGGTTCCATGAAACATTCGGAGGTGGTGCACACCCCCACAGCCCATCTGGCTGAGAGGCAGGGAGCAGCGGGCTTGTAAAGTGCCAGGCTAGTCTCTCTTCCTTCTTCATTGTATCTGTGCCTGCCTTTACAGTGAGCGTCCTCTATGAGCTCCAAAGAGAGGTTGTGAACAAGTCAGTGGTTGATCCCAGCACACAATGCCCTTTCTCCTTATGCACTTTGGTCACTGATGCTGCTGATTCAATTGCCCATGGTCTCCTGAAGGCTGATTATCTCAAAACAGATTAAGAAATGTTTCTTTTAGACAACTGTAGTTGGCAGCCTGATCTTCGGTAACAGGTGACCAAGTCTATAGGATTTTCAGAATTGGATTTTTCTGTTTCTCTGGGCCTCATGAAACCTCTCAAAATTGTATTTTCTGAGGGAAGTAGAATTATTTTATTTGATTCCATACCATGAAGATCCATATTGTAACAAGAACACCAGACCTATAACGAGTTAGCATTTCCCACAGCGTTGAAAGCTTCCTAAGAACCCTGTGAGATGGTTCATTGCTGCGCATTCTCAACATCAAAACTAGAGCCCTCGGGTCATGCTCCTAGTATTAACTAGAAAAATCTACTATGATATTTTTCCAGATCTCACCTCTTAACCATTGTATTATAAAATATAAGAAAATTTGTAATATTCACCATTCTTAACATGGGTAAGATATATATATCTCAGCACTCAGGAGGCAGGCAGGTAGATCTCTGTGAGTTTGAGGCCAGCCTGGTCTACAGAGTGAGTTCGTTCCAGGGCAGGCTCCAAAGCAACAGAGAAAGCTTGTCTTGAAATCCTCCACCAAAACGAACAAACGAACAAACAAAAACCTGTTCTTGACATGTTTCTAGGGACTGGCAAAGATAGAGATCCTGACCATGGAACATTAAGGGACCATGAGGTTAGCTGACCTTACTCACCATGAGCTGAGCTCTATTCAGTTAGTGGCTTTGAACCAGGAATGATCCCTACCCTATACTCCAGTAGGAATGTTTGGTAAGAGGGACTGCACTTATCATCTAGTGTATAGAGGTCAGGGATGCTGAAAAGTGTTGATTCCTTTTATGAGGGGGAAAGAAGACACTTCAAACAATCCCATGTCTTTTAAAATGATATTAATTCCATTTCTATGAGCAGAGGCTGCCCACATAATTTAATTATTCCCACAAAGCTTCTTAGTTTTATATTTCTTAGTAATATAACAATAGTATTTGAGATTAAATAAGAATTTTGGAAGGGACCCAGACCTTAGCACTTACTATTAAATTCTTCATGACAGGCTATTTTGGGGTAAATATGGAAGAGGAAGAAAGAGCAGAAAAGAAGGAAACAAATCTATGCTGGATGAGTTAATATTCAAGTTACAACTGGGCTAGAACTCATTGTGGACTTTTTGAAGATTAGATAAAACACATCCTGAGGTAAAGAAGTAAAAACTAAAGGTAGAGAAGTTTGGCTCTACATTGACTAGCTCATGCCCATCCCATATTGAGGCCTCCTCCTGATGGCCCAGTTCCTTGGCATTTCCAACATGCCCAGTCCCTGGAGGCTGAACCATGTTCTGAGACCAAAACATTGCTCATAAGCCAAGCACTGAAGGTCTTGAGAAAAGACTCACATGAGAGCCTTTGAACACAGCAAAGGCTGAGGGGAGAGAATATGTGTGTTCTTCCTTCTAAATTGAAGGTGGTTAAAATTATGCAGAGCTAAACTGGGCATCATGACACACGCCTTTTCTCTGAGCACTTGGGAGGCGGAGGCAGGTGGATCTCTGTGAGTGTGAGGCCAGCCTGGTCTACATAGTTCCAGGACAGTCAGGGTTACATAGAGAGATTTTGCCTCAAACACACACACACACACACACACACACACACACGTGCATATACACATGTGCACACACACATAAAGTCATACACATACACACATATATAATATGAAAAGACGTAATATATAATATATAATGCTTGCTGTATTCTTAATAGTAATTATATGTAATTTTTATATAATGTTAAAATTTATTCAGTAAATGCATAACTGTTTCTTGAACAGTTTCCTTCTTTACAAGTTTGCTGGAAATCGATCCTGAAATGAGTTCATTTTTACTGCTTTACTCACTGGCAGCTAGAGGACCATGGTCTCCTCACTACTGATGCTGCTCTTTGAAGAAATACAATCTTTTACAAAACAACAGGGCCTCATGTGAAAAGAAGGAACACTCTTTAAACAGGATGCTTAAGAAAACAGCATGGTATGAAATTTGATTCTATCCTGTTTGTATATCTATTTTTATAGTCTAATTTTAATCCTTAGCATTAGAAAAAAATTTATTTTCAAAATCTTTCCAAATTAAAAAAAAAAAAAACAGCTCAAAGCCGGTCAAGACCTCACTCCCTCGCTCTCTCTCTCATACACACTACTTGATCCTCCATTAAACAACTTCACCTCCAAATAGCTGAAGGGTAATAGAATCACTGTTAGCATAGAAAACTGCGAATTCATTGCTCTGAGGTCCTTACTTTTCTCCAGACCAGCCAGGTCCATCAGTGCCCATCCAAGGGTGGATGTCCCTGCTCTAGCGGCACTGTGAACCCGAGAGAGAGAGAGAGAGAGAGAGTGAGGCCTAACAACGAGGCCATATAAAGCCTCACGCAATAGGCAAATTTCTTCAGAGCGTCAGATAAATTATATAATGAGGGTTGAGCAAGGTCAAATGAGCAAAGGTGACACGGGTTTAGGCTGATTACAGTCATGAGGACAACCCGAGCCTGGAAACACCGTCTGAGTCATAACAGTAGATGATCCGAGCTAACCCACTCCTGTTTACTACACCCGGGAGGGGCACAAGAGCACATTCCAAGAGCAGCCCCGGTGATGGGGAGACAGAGGTCACAAGACTTTCGTCTTGCTTACTCGGAGTTTTCTTACAAGCGCCCAGAATTCTCCTTGCATAGCTCCGTTTGTGGACCGTGTCCTGACAACCCACCATTTTCTTTAGTTTTACGTAACCGCTTTGTGTTCAGGGCCTGCTACGTTAGCGTCTCAGCTCTAGCTCACAATTAGTCCTTAGTCTAACCATTAAAATAGATCCATCACTAGCATTTAAAGACTGACTGTCTTCAGTTTCCTTCATACGCAAGATACATGGACAAACTTGATTTGGATTGAACATTTTTACTGAAAGCAAAAACCTCTTCGTGAAAGATGAAGAAGAAAAGTCAGAAACTGGGGAGCTCAGCGTGCAAAGAACTTGCCTTGCAAATGCAAACGCAAAGAACGGAGTTCAAGTCCCTAGAGCGTACACAAAGTCAAGCACCGTAGCACACAGTAAAAGAAAAGTGGTAACAGGGCATGGGAGCGCTCATGGGCCACCTGGCCTGACTTACACAGCTGCAGAACAAGGGCCTCTCTTAAGCAAGTGGAAGGTGAGGATCATACCCAAGGTTGTCTTTTGACTTCACAGTCGGTGTCAGGGCACATGTGGGCCTATATTCACATGTACAATTCTGCACAAACTCATGTAATATACACACATGTGTATACACAATACAAGAAAGATTAAAGAAAACATTGAGTTGCATGTCAATTAAACTTCGTAAATTGTGTTGGTTTGACTTCTATTAGGGAATGGATTAGTTAATTCAAAGACGAACAAACAGTGAAAGGATAATTTAAATTAATAAGGAAAGGTTTTCCATTTAAATTAGCTCTATTGAAGTCTATTCCCTAGCAGAAAAATTATTAAAGAGACAAATTCTGACCAAGGGTGGAGAGAGTAGGAGCAAATTACAACCTCTGATTGGGCAACTGTCTCAAAGGTTGAGCTCCCATGGAGATGAGCTAAACCAAAGGGGAGGTTTACCCCCGATGTTGTGGCTGATTCAGAGTTTCCAGACATAAGCAGCACCCACCTTCCCCGGGGACAGCAGGCTAGGGAACTGCCCCCAGTGTTTATCTCGCTCTGTCCTTGTTGGTCTAGAACTCAGCATATGTAGCTCTGACTCACTTCGTAAGGAGCCAAAGTCCTTTGTAGTGAGTGTCCTGTCATCTAGATAGTTTCTGAGCCATCTATCTGCAATTAAGTTTCTTTGGGTGATCCCGAAGATAGGAACTCCTCGATGAAGCTGCAAAGCAGGTGAGAAGTCAGCGTGTTATGCTGGGGAAACAGGACCTGGTTATAGAGAAGACGGCAGCATACAGTTCATGGTGAGGGAACACGGTAGATGAGCAAACATGGGCAGTCTGTCTTCTGAATGGAAGTGG